TGACCAGGGGTGCTGGACTCGCTCACTGACTGACTGCTCGATTCTAATTTATTTTGTTTAGCTGCTGCCTCAGCCAAGTTATTCCTTTTAGCTTGGCTAATATTCGACCTGGTTGACCTAATATCCATCACTTTTTCGAACCCCAATTCAGTACATCAATTGCTTTTGGTTGGATTTTGGTATTTGTTTCGATGTTACTGTTATCCCATGCGGAAGCCTAAATTGGTGTAAAGAACGCAGAAGTCCAGCAAGAAAAGTCAAAAAAAAGCTTACCAAATCATTGAATTTGGTTGTGTTGGTTGTGTTCTATGGATGAGTATGCAGTTCAGCCGAAAAGCAATATTTTCTACTTCAGTTCGAGCGTGAACAAGATGTGTTCGGTTTGGGTGATCTCTTCCAGCAAGTGAAGAACAAAAGAGGAGGAGATAGGGGGACAACGACCGCGACGATTCGAAAAGGACGAGGCATTGAGGTTCAGTGGAAACTTTAGATGAATTTCGATTGATTCTAACGTGGCAGAGTCTGATGCGAAGCTGTTTTCGTACACACCAAGTCAGTGTAACCTTCATTTTGATGTGTTTTGCATCCACACTTCGCCAAAGCTTTGAGAGGGCGATGAAGGAGACTATCTTACCTTGAAAATAGGTGTACAGCACGTTATTTCATGTTTTCTCTCTCGTCTTCCTCCTTTGACTGTATTAAATTTATAGTCTAAGAATGCATTGGTTGGTCATTTCGTTGAATTGTTACGCGTCAGCTGTCCATTTGGTTATCATTTGTTTGGGAATTCTGTTAAATTTCCTGCGCCTTGTTTTGGCTTGACCACGGCGACAGGCGTAAAGGCGAATTTCCTCTCCTAGGGTGCCGTCAACCCGCGCTTTGCCTGCAACATATTTCAGTTGTGGTTACCCTGTACCTCTGCCCTCACCTTTATGACTCGAGCATTGAATTAGAACAGTAGACTATCAAACATGAACTTTTCGCCCACAAAGTGCTTCCTAGCGATCAAGAAAAGGAAGGCTCGTCAGTCTTAGCAGGCAGTCTTCATTGTGACTGAGTGGAAAAGGCGTTTTCTTGATTCGGTACCAGAATACGAATTTAGAAGTGCAAAGGTGTTTCCCTACTGCTTAGCAGCCCGTACTCCTACATCCCTCCACCATTGCTCTGGGTTTTGTTATTTACAGATTTTCCTTCCACTTGATGTCAAGTTGTATGTATGTCAAAGTTATCTCGTGGTGACGGACGCCCATGTGCTTTGATATCAGAATATCGAAGTTTGTTTTTGTCCGATTTTGATTGAAAACCTCGCAAAAGGATTGTATCAGGATGTTTATCAATAAATAATACTGCAGTGTACATGGTTGTATAAATTCACAGGCAAAGTGGCGGAGATATCGTGAAGTACCAGCGTATAAGCGATCTCATATGATAATACAATTGATATGTACATTATTAGGCCGATGTCAGACTTTGCGAATCGCGCGATTCGCTAGCGTCCGCGGTCGCGTTGCGGTACCAGCCAATTGAGTGATTCACTGGCCGCGACGCGACCGCAGACGCTAGCGAATCGCGCGATTCGCAAAGTCTGACATCGGCCTTAAAGAGCAATGTCCATTCAGGGGATCAGTTTTGATTGAATCATTGAGTTGAGCAAAACGGCTTTATGTTGATGTTCTCGTTGATGTTCTCGCCGTTCACTTTCCAATGCCGCTTCCAATTTCTCCACAGTACGTCGCATTTCGTCGAGTTTTGCCCTCAGTACTTTCACTTCGTCGACTTTGTGACGCATCTGAGCTCTGGAATAGGAAATTCTGGTTGGAGAGGTGCTTACTTGCGGCTAGAATCGAGCTACTCACCTGTATTGCCTCGCGTAGAGTCGACGGGTGTCGCCGTTTTTGACTATTTGGATCGTCGTCGTCAGCGAATGTCCTGTTGTGGTCGCCCTCGACGAATTCTCGACTTTAAGTTGTAGCTTTCAGGCGAGGAAACGCGCTGAAATTGATCGTTTTTCCCCGTGTTCATATACCATTAACTTTTGAGGAAGCATTGATGGGTTGTCTAGCTCTGATGCCAGCAGATCACTGGTCAATGATAACGCGGGGAAAACATTACGTTGGCGGCCACTAATTGGTAACTGCTATACCCTAGCATTGAAAATGGATGTCCAGTGGTATTCATCCTCTCACGAATGCGCGCCATGCATTCGGCCGACGACCGGGAGCATTCAAATGCGCATTCACCCTGTATAAGAAGTTTACCAAGGGCAGTCGAGTTTCCCGCGCTTGCTTTTATGGTTAAGGGCCAGGGGTATTTGCCGTTCTTCCTCTAGTACCTTCGCAATTAATTTGATTTTTTTATGATTTGTAGGGTACCTTATTGCTACAGATCGCAATAGCAGGCCAGAAAACATTGCTCGTCACAAACCACACGCATGTCCCCCACGGACAGTGCGCACTCCTATATTTGTGCAGATACATGTTGCACTTTCACTGTGCAGTAATAATCGGGTTTTCAATTTTACAATAAATCCAGAAGTCATTGGGGGGGGGACATTTTGTGCTGGTGCTGCATGCAAACAGTAATCTCAGCTGTTGCAGTGAGACAGAGTGAGGTCTGGGACAGATTCGTTACGGGTACTTGAGTTTCCTTCGGTGGGCTTGCGCGGGGTAGAGCATAGACGATATAGGAACGGTTTTCATGATGCAACTAGGGACTAAGCCTTGGAGACGAGAGAACCGTAGGGAGAGTGCAGAGTAGGTTCAAAGGGCTGAGTTTGAGTAGTCCGTCCACCCCTACACCCTCCAAATATCCCTCTCTTTGATAACAGAGATCCGACAATATTAACGTTGAGCTTACTTACCTCCGGAAGTGAATTGCCAGGAGTAGATGTGCCGGATTCTGTTGTCTGTGAGCATTCACTAGACTGTGAGAAGCATTCGGGTGCGTTTTCTATCAGTTGAGGAAATTCAAAAAAGTGGTTGAGCTGAAAAGGTTTGAATGCCTAGGTCTTTGTACGAATCTCTAGTACTACTCATTTTTAAATAGCTTTCGGCAGTCGCTATGAAAAAACCTTACCTGAAGGATGGCTGTGAGTTGGGCAGTGGAATCGTCGGGAGCGTTGGATCGGGAAATGCTGAGAGAAGTGAGAACAAGCACGGATTCCAGAATGGGCTCGGTGCCAGAAGTGGAGGTCCACCCAGCGAATGATAGCCTGAATAAGATCCTTCTAATTCACTTCAAATACATTGGCCTTTACTGATTGCCCACTTATATGATGAAAAGAACTCACGAGGTGGTATTGGTGTGGAATTTGTGAACGTTGTAGGAAATAAATGAAGCGTAGCGATGTCATCAGATTTCATCTTAAGAAAATCAGATGACCAGCAGCAGTACGGCTAGTGATATGATCGTTCGTCCCCTTATAAACACTGATATGCACCGGAAGGAACTGATAAGATCGTTAACTAGAAGGAGGCGGGCGGCGCCATGGAATGAAACAGCAGCCAGAACTCACCAAGTTCTGTTTGTCGGTAGTAATCTCTCGCTACAGTACCGCATACCGACCTCCTTGGCCCATTCGGGGTACGATTGTGCTCATATTTCTGCGCCATATTTCCGGCAAATTACAGAGTTCCTAACTTGTGAAATAATCGTTCAAAAAATGGGATAAAGCTTCGAAAAAGGATAAAGCATTTGCCGTTGATCAATCCCTTTTTGGGATGCGGCACGCATTCTACTTCCATTTGTACATTCGTAGTGGCGTTTGAATGCGATGTGGCCTATACAATGACTTGCGGGGGCCAGCCGATGTACAAGTCAGTGTTTTTATCCTCCCAGACAAGTCTGGTACCAATTAACCGACCCCGGAGGGATGGAAGGCTTGGTTGGCCCGGGCGACTCACGACCCAGGATTTGATCCCCGGACCGCTCGCGTGGTAAGCGCGCCACTTGCCACTACACCACTTCCGCCCAAAATGGTTTAGCAACCTTTATTACTTTATTTTATTGTCCTTGACAACTCTGGTATCAATTAGTCAACCCCGGAGGATTGAAAGGCTTGGTTGGATGGAAGAACGGAATGCAGAAATCGAACAATATTCTCATTCTTTCTTAGAAGATGAAAACGCAACACAGTGCTCCAAGAACCGGCTTATTCAATCGATTTCCATACTCAATATTTTCATAGCACTCTTTTCTTTCTTTTAGGAATTAGGGCGATTTTAGACGGATTTACGAAGGACTACGAATGCTGCCATAAAGTGAGCGTGTGTGGGCAGGATGTGGAATGTCACTGATATAAAGGACGGGATCATTCCAATGATGTCATGGCGAATTCCAATCTGAAAGGGCATATTTAAAAAAAAAACCGGGCATGGAAACTGCATATTTTCCATGATTGGTAGACTGTAACCCATCTTTCACGACAAAAATAAAAAAAAACTTGCGTTTTTTCGTACACAATCTGACGCCAGGAAAACGGCACTATCGCAAGATACAGGGCATTTTGTACAAACTTCTGCATTCTAGTCAGATCGTGGTTACATACTTGTTAATACATGATTAATGTTACAACGCGTTTGAACGTGTGTTTTTTTCTGATTTTGTAACATTAAGGCGCTATCGCAACATACGGGGCATCCACTAGATTTAGAGGCCGAACTCGCGCAAGATAGAAAAAATTTGTCATGCCCAATTGAGGTCCTCTTTGAGTCCTATTTCTGATAGGTAGGCGATGTTTTAGGCGGTTAAAATGCTTTGCTCTATACAACAATGCCCCGTATCTTGCGTTGACGCCTCAAAATCATCTCTGTTCTCTTCCCTTCCTTCAAAAAGCTTAGCCCTGGTATCACCTGAAGCATGTGCTTTTCTATCTAGACTCTAGATCACTATTGACATCGATAAGGGAAAAAAAAAAATTAGATACATAACGCTAACACGTGGTTTTTTTGTCTTGTTTGTTTGTAACTTTGCTGTTTTAACGCCGCAGTACGCGTTGCGAATTGTGTCACAGATGCTGGTTGACAAGTCAAAATCCATTGCTAAAGCTTTCAGCCTCGCGGTCATTGCCGATATCGGCTAACCGGCTCAACACGTTAGACGTGTGAGTGCTGAAAGCTATGGTACGTATACCATGAAAAGCTGAGTTGGAATGAAATGGTGCCCCGGTAGCGTAACTGGTAGCGCACTTGCCCGGAAAGCGAGAGGTGCGGGTTCTAGTCCCGCCTGGGGCGAAAGTTTTGTTCACAACCCAGCATTCTTGTGAAACTAAACGTTAAGGCGTTAACTTGTATAGCATACATTATATTACGGCGGATACATGGCCGCCCCCGGCACGCAGTGCTTCATCGCGCCTGTTTGGCTGACGCCTAAGGTCGGTGACCGTCCACAATAGTATGGTTTGATTGGATGGCTCGTTTTTAGAAACTGGGTTTCTATGCGTGGATTTGTAGACTGCATTAGTGAATACGAATGATGCCTCTATAGAGAAAATCACGTTTCTTCATGCATGGAACAGGAGTGATATATTAGCAAGTGGCGCATCACGCACACCTCTGGAACAGGGTCAACCCTACGTTGTTACTAGTAACAACGGGGGGTCGTACTTGGTTGAGTTTGTAGGAGGGGGGGGGTCGTACCCGTTTCAGTCGCTTGAAATCACATGTGAGTTTGAGGTGAGAGTAGGAGTAAAATGGCGGAGATATAGGGAATTTTTACTGTTTCAGAGTAGCCCCCTATATACCTCCCGCTCGACGGCATTTTTGGAGGAGTCAAGGTGTGGAAAAGGGGGTCGTATCAAATCCACCTTGGGGGAGGGAAAGAAAATTTTTCAAGAAGTAACAAACGATAATTGTTGACCTGACCTCTGGATCCCAACCTTAGCGTATTTCTGAGCTGAGCTAACTCTGACTTTCCTCCCTTCCTGGGTCAGCTATCTTATAAGACTTGCATAGGAGGATGGACCACTTAATTTCACCTATTTTTTGTTATTATCAGTTCTATCTCTGTAGCAAGTATTTCCCTCGTTATCGGACATTAGAGACTGATACTTCGAATGAACGTCCAGCAAACTAATCGTGTTGTGTCGACAAGTGCCCAACGATGACATTTTCGCTAAGGCCTTGGCACTGATAGTGAGTGCTTAACAGCCGGAAGTCCAGCGAACACTTTCATGTCACATGATAGCGCCTCGTGCAAATGGTGCTCTGCAGAAGGAATCCCTTGTAGGGGCCGTGCGCTGAGTATCTCAGTCGCAAATGTGAAGCAGTTTTCCTCACACTTCATTTCCTCCCAACATTTCCCACAGAAAGGGTGAAAAAGAGCGCTTCAGCGTGAATGAATCGCTTTTTTAAGTATGCGTTCCGCACTTCTAGAATCGCTGTGACATGGATCAACCAAACTGTCAGACCAGGCGTAAAGCCAGCGTTTATCCTCCTGGGGAAGTCTGGTACCAGTTGATTGATTCCACAGGGATGGCTGGCTTCCTTGGCCTGGACGACACACGATCCAGGATTCGGAACGAACCGAACAGAACCGCGCGCCAATTGCCACTACCGTAATAACTTCGTATAGCATAAGAAGTTCAACGGCGTTGTCAAGGAATTAGTCCGTGTGGTGTCGGAGAAATACGAAGTTATACGACATATCCCGTGAATGCTCCAGCTTGTGGCTGCTGCAAAACTCCTTTCAATTTACTTAAAGGCAAAAGTCAGGCTCGTGTTTGGGCATTATGGCGCCTGAAATTGTAACACTACATGTTCGGTAAATTGGCCGGGTGTGCGGTCCTGTGGGAGGTGGAACGACAGTAAGAAAAACCGTCGACAAGACCGAAATCGAAACCCCTTTCCTTCTAGCAGTGAAGGAGGCTTGCTCGGGGGAGAGCCACGTCCAAACGAGTTTTCCGGATATGCCAGCCGTTCCATCGGTTGATACGGCAATCAACCTAGCTGATCTCACACGTTAGGCCAGCCACGCACCACATCCCGCGGTGGGCGGGACCAGCTGATGAAACGAACCCATCGCTGTAAGTAGTAGGCCAGAGGCCTTGACGGCGCGCAATCTCGAGTCAGGAGTGTGGCATCACCCCTCTGAGCGCATTCCTGGAAATATTAGTGATGGAAAGGCCTTCTATGGTCACCTAATCCTGACTCGTGGCTTTAATTGATTGATAGTTTTCTAGACACGGTCGCAGATCCCTACGGAGCAGCATAACAACCTGATAATGGTTCAAAATCCATCGAGGTACTCCATTGAGTTCGAGTCTTGCACATTGTTTCCGTGTCTTCTTCTGCCGTAGCCCGTGTCCAAGGTTATTATGAAGTTGCTGGAAGCTGCTCCTAGTTCTTGAAAATCGACGGTTTGCGACAGAATCTCCATCGCAAATTGTAGATTTGCTGAGAATTAGGAAATAGTATTAGATTGCCCAGATAATGCGGGTTTCGACGATTCATACCTTATTAGACATTTTTGCTCACTGAAAATTATTGAAATTAATCACTGAGCTATTATTGAAAAGCTCAATTTATTCTCCCTCTTGTGCTTCTATTGTGTTTTAAAAAATCGGGCCTCTTCTCTTTTTGAAGGTTTGAATTTGAAGAAGTCAAAACAGTAGTTTTGGCAAGTTTTCTCTATGAGTTGAAATTCGGACAGAAAGCCATGCAGACAGTTCTTAATAGGTTTGTTGTGGGGCTAAGAAAGTTCCAACAAATGCATCAATGGTTTCGAATTTGTTAGTGTAGGAAACTCGGGATTCAGAGTGAGGGAGGTTACGGGCGTCATTATCCTGTTGAGGGCAATCCTTCTGAAGACCCGGCAGAAGAAGATTCCAAACAAGTGTACGACAGCCAGCAGCATAACCTTGAGCAAGCATACTGAAATTTTCGGAGCGCCTGAAGGTACTTGGGAAGGTAAGAAAGCTGGACAAGTGGGTACCGCATGAGCTGACTGAGCAGCAGCAAAGTCGCCTTCAGGGATCTCGTCAAACCTGTTTTTATTCAACAAAAATCCCAGTTTCAGAATATTTCGTCATCCTCGACGGAAATCGGATCTTTGCAAGAGAATTAAGCAATTTTCCAAAAATCTAAACAGCAACGAACATCAAAAACTTTTTCCAAAGCAGAATTCCACAAGGTGAGGACCACGCTGATGGTTTCGTGGCCTTCCGAAGTAATGATGCATCACAGCTTCTGAACCCAGGTGAACTTGACACAGTACCAAGGTCTGTCCATCACGCCGAGATGATGCACCAGAAACAGCAAGGTGAGGAAAAAGAACTGTCCTGCATGTTGATGCCCATTCACATGCCGCTCAAACGACTTCGCAAGAAATGGACGCATCGACCAATGCGGCTTTGATTCACAGGGTC